CCCGACCGCTTTTGTCTCCCTATTTGCGATGTTTACTGTACACCACCGCTCCAGTTATTCATTTGAGGCTGAGTCGACCTAGAGGAGGCCCAGGACCAGTTCAGATAATCGTCACTGGTGTTGGACGTGAGCGGGAATCGAAATCGGGTCGCCAGGTTCGGAGCGCAGCGCGAGAACCGCTACACTACCGCTCCCCACACACAGTAACACACTCTCGCACACACATATATACACTGACTCACCCACACAGTCACGAACACACTCACCCACTCACACAGTCACTCACCCACACACACTCACCCACACACACTCACCCACACACTCACCCACATACGCTCGCACACACACACACACAAAAAAGACAAATTTCGATTTAAAGCTTTCGTGACTGCAGGGATTCATCTTCTTGGTTCTTTCGGTAAAGTCACGTAGAAGGGAAGTAATAAAATAATGTTTTATTTTTATTATTTTATTACTTCCCTTCTACGTGACTTTACCGAAAGAACCAAGAAGAAAAAAGACAAAGTTCCCCCGTATAGCCTTAACAGACTGTAGGGGCAAGTGCTGTTAGCGAGCACCTATGAAGGCCGGAACAGTACACGATGGGGTGGGTGGCCAGCACCACGCCCGACCGCCTTTGTCTCTCTAGTGACGGTGTTTACACCGCACCAGGTACTCATTTGAGGCTGAGTCGACCTAGGGGAGGCCCGGGACCGTTTCAAATAATCGTCACTGGTGTTGGCCGTGAGCGGGAATGTAACCCGGATCGCCGGGTTCATAGCGCAGCGATCTAACTGCTGCACTACCGCTTCCCACACACTCACTCACCCATCACCCACTCCCCCAAACACTTACCCACATGCTCACTCACACACTCAGTCACTCACTCACACACTCACTTACCCACTCACCCACACACTCACCCACACATCCACTCACCCACACACTCACCCACACACCAACTCACCCACACACTCACCCACTCACACACTCACCCACACACACTCACATACTCACTCCCCACTCACCCAAACACTCACCCACATACTCACTCACACACTCAGTCACTCATACACTCACACACACACTCACACACCCACACACTCAGTCACTCACACACTTACTTATCCACTCACCCACACACTCACCCGCACACCCACTCACTTATCCACACACTCAATCACTCATACACACACTCACACACACACTCACACACACCCACACACCCATCCACACACACATTCACTCACGCTCTCTCTCTCTCTCACACGCATTCACATTCCGGTCCAGATCTCCACTCACTCCCTGGTATCCACGCAGACCACTCCCCAGACAGCGGTGCCAGTCCCTTCCCCGACTCGGCAATCGAGAGGCTGCGTTGTTTATACAGCGCATGGGCACGCACACAGAGACATGTTGCTTACACGCAGATACACACAGAGAGACAAAGACAAAGATTCCCCGGGTAGCCTTTGACAGACTTGCTGGAGCAAGCGCTCTCAGTAGCGAATAGCAGAACGTATAACGGCCGGCACTGTGGCACACGAGGTGGATGGGTGGCCAACCCCACGCCCGGCCGTCTTTGTCTCCCCAGTGGCGATGCTTACTACACACTGCACCAGATACACATTTTTCAGGCTGAGTTAACCTAGCGGAGGCCCAGGACTCACCCACTTACACATACTCACCAATATGCTCACCCATAGACTCACACAAATACAAATACACACACTCAACCACTTCCCTACACTAATTCCAACACCCACCATTCGCCACTAAGTGGCGGTGACGTCACCACGGCGCTTGTGCCAGGCTAGGTGCACTTTGAGGCCACGTGAAGTGTCGAAGGCTCACTGCTGGCCAGAGGTCAAGGGACAGACCCAGCAGGTGCCATAGAGGTTGACTGACTGAGATGAGTGGCTGATGCACCGCCTGTGCCCCCTATTGTGCCAACTTGCTGTGTTTTAGCCGCCCGGCACTCCGCTCGTTGTTGTGAACGTGGCTCCTCCGTCCTCCGTTGTTGCTGGAGGGCGACTGCCTCCAACTGCCCAGTAGCAGCGTCCTTCACGAGCCTCCTCCACAGAGGCTGATCTTGACACCGCTGGTGCCGGTCTCGGCAAGTTCACTCAGGTCCACATCCTCCTGGACCACATCGCTCCATCTCTTCTCCAGCCCCTGCTACGCCCGTTTAGCCCCTCCCCCCCTCTATCGAGCTGAACAAAAGCTGTTTAGGCATGCGGTGGCTGGGCATGCGGGCGACATGACCCAGCCAACGCAGACTTGCCTGCTGGAGGAGCTCTCCGATGAAGGGGAGTGTGCCCAGATCTGTCAATGATGTGTGAGCTCCTCACATAATTCAGCCTGGTTATGTATATGTGGATGTTGAACTTATTTCGCACCGTACAAAGCCAACCGTACTAAGCTGTTGGTCTATCGATGGGTCTATATATGGGTCTCTATGGGTATATCCATGGGTCTCTATGGGTATATGTATGAGTCTCTATCTATGGGTCTCTATGGGTCTATCTACGGGTCTCTATAGGTTTATCTATGGGTCTCTATGGGTCTATCTACGGGTCTCTTTGGGTTTATCTATGGGTCTCTATGGGTCTATCTATGGGTCTCTATGGGTTTATCTATGGGTCTCTTTGGGTCTATCTATGGGTCTCTATGGGTCTCTCTGGGTCTCTATGGGTCTGGGTGTTTGTGGGTGGCACGGCCAGCCCGAATGCTTCGAACGGGTCGCAGATATTCCACTAAGAGGGGTCAAAATGTTGTCGCAAGCACTCACAACAACAACGGTCACTTCTCACCCCCCCCACCCTCACATAGCTTTAATAGAATATTTGGGGGTGGTGGCGAGTTTCTGTTAGCGAGCTCGCGCTCGTGAAAAGTCAACAAGGCACAAGGCAATTTGCCTCCGGGGAGATGCTCCCCTTGAACCCTCTCCCCCATCTTCTCAACGGCCTCTCCCTCCCCGCTTCGTCTCTTGCCGCTCCGTGCGCCGTTCTGTTGCCGACTGTGAATCTTAAAAACTCACGAATTCGGGAGGGAGATCGTGGTGGTGGTGGTTTTGTGTGTCTCGTATTTTTCGTTCCGTGTGTCTTTAGTGATTGCGTGTGTCTCTTGTGTGTTTCTTTAGTTCGTGTCTTTAGTGCGTGACTTGAGACACACACTACAGAAACACATACTAAAGACACACACACTAAAGACACACACTCACTAAACCCACACACTCACTAAACACACACTCACTAAAGACACAGTCATTAAAGACACTGTGGGGGCCGACGCTCGCCCCCTCCACTCCCCCTTCCTCCTCATCAGCCGCCTCTCGCCGGGCCCCTGCCGATCGGGTGATCGCCCCCCACCCCGCGCCAGCGCCCTCTCTGAGGGACATCGCTAACCGGCTGGCTCACCACCACCCGGGGTTATCCCGCACACGCCCACGTACACCACCTCTAAAACGAACGCGGTGGCGTGAACGCACGCGCCGCTGCAGGCGCTTGTTTCCAACGCACGCGCGCGTAAGCACGCACGTTTATGTTATTACACGCTTTTTTATTTAACTCACTCGACTCTGTCGTATCCTCAACTCTGTCTGTTGTCGTATTCTCAAATCTTGTAACTATATTTTAACCCACTTCCCAATGTGGTATCGACTGCAAAACTTGGTATACGTATGTCATACTGATGACAATACTATATTCTATCATTAAAAATAAAAAATATATATTTGTAAGCAATCTTTTTTGTATCTTATGTTTCGGCTTGGGTCTAATTGTCCACGCTCAACTCACGTTGGCTGTAAATCACCACGGCCCCTTATGTTGTGGCAAGCTTCGGAGCCACTTCCTGGAGTCGTGGAGTTCTGCCATTACTCGTACGGTACATTTCATTAAAGCGTGTTAAAAAAAAAGTATTTTTAGATATTACTTATTTTTAATACATGCGCGCCACACACACACTCAAATTACCAACACCACGCCGAGTTTCTACCCACACACACACAAATCACACTGCACCGATACTCTGTACTTAAGTTCATTAACGGAGCGTTTAAAAAAAAATCACCTATCACTACCCAATCCCTTAGGTGTACCCCCACTCTATTACTCACCTCACAGACGCACTCACGGTGTCGCACGGACGCTGTGGGCATCTGATGGACGACGATCAGAGAGGGCTTTGTCTAGGCTCGTGGCCTACCACAACACTCACACTAAAGACACACACACTCACTAAAGACACACACAATAAAGACACATTCACTAAAGACACAAACACTAAAGACACACACTAAAGACACACACACTCACTAAAGACACACACACTCAACACACACACTCAACACACACACTCAACACAAACACTAAAGACACACATTCACCAAAGACACACATTCACTAAAGACACACACTCACTAAAGACACACACTAAAGACACACACACTCAATAAAGACACACACTCACTCAAGAAACACAAACACTAAATTCACAAACGCTAAAGACACACTCACTAAAGACACACACACTAAAGACACACACTCACTAACGACACACACACTAAAGACACACATTAAACACACACACACAGAAGAGACACACACTCACTAAAGACACACACACTAAAGACACATTCACTAAAGACACACACACTAAAGACACACTCACTAAAGACACACACACTCAACACACACACTCAACACAGACACTAAAGACACACATTCACTAAAGACACACACTCACTAAAGACACACACTCACTAAAGACACACACTCACTAAAGACACACACTCACTAAAGACACACACTCACTTAAGAAACACAAACACTAAATTCACAAACGCTAAAGACACACTCACTAAAGACACACACTCACTAAAGACACACATTAAACACACACACACTGAAGACACACACACACTAAAGACACAAACACTAAAGACACACATGAGACACACAAAACAAAAAGACGAGACACAAAATCACCACTACCACCACGATCTCCCGTTTGTGTGTATTTAAGATAAAAAGTCGGCAACAGAACGGCGCATGGCGAAGAGACGAAGCCAGGAGGGAGAGACCGGAGGAGAGGCCGAGGGGAAGAGGGCAAGAGATTGAGGGGGGTGAAGGGAGAACGCACCCCGGGGTTTGAGCTCGACTCTGCCCAGCTGATGAGGAGCCAGAAACACCCAGAGAGAGGGAGACGTCTCGACACGAGGAACGACTGCCGTGCGAGTGTGTGGATTCTGAAGATTCACTCCACTGCGAGTCCTGCAGATTCAGTCCACTGTGAATTCTGCAGATTCACCCCACTCCAGATTCAGTCCACTGTGAATTCTGCAGATTCACCCCACTCCATATTCAGTCCATTGTGAATTCTGCAGATTCACCCCACTCCAGATTCAGTCCATTGTGAATTCTGCAGATTCACCTCACTCCAGATTCAATCCATTGTGAATTCTGCAGATTCACCCCACTCCAGATTCAGTCCACTGTGAATTCTGCAGATTCACCCCACTCCAGATTCACTCCACTGCGGATTCATTCCGCCCAGGAGTCTGCAGATTCACCCCACCGTGGAATCCCACAGATTCACTCCACTGCAGCACGCCGAAGCGATGGGTTGTGAATGGACACATCCCTCAGAAATAGCACCATGGGGTCTGGAGCTCCTCACAGGAAGCCACTTGCCCTGATAAACGCCGAGGGAGACTTCCTCCCTGTCCGCTCATTTGCACCGTGGACTTTTGGAGGAAAGTATTTATTGGTCCTTAAGCCACCTACAGAGGATTTTCCTTGGCAGGAAAGTGCACGCGCGCGTGTGTGTGAGTGAGCGAGTGTGTGAGTGAGCGTATGAGTAAGTGTGTGAATGAGTGCGTGAGTAAGTGAGAATGTTAGTGAGTGTGTGAGTGAGTGTGTGAGTAATTGAGTGAGTGTGTGAGTGAGCGTGTAAGTGTGTGAATGAGTGCATGAGTGAGTGCGCGCCCATGTATACTTACGTATGTAGTACATGTCAATAGTTAGGGTGCGTGTGTGTCTTTGTGTTAAAATAGTTACAATGTTGTATACAAGTGCATGTTGTACAATGTTGTATACAAGTGTATGCATGTGTGCATGCGTGCGTGTGAGTGCGTCTTGCAATGGATGTTATATATCTCTCTTCTCTTGTCTCCTTCTACATCAGCAGGTCTTCGCTCACGTCCTCTGTACAGACGGCGGGTACGGGGAGACAGACAAACGGAGGCATTAGTCATCGCGGATGTGGCAATCAGTGTTATTCAGGGCACTGTTGTAGCTCGGATGGGTGGCTGCCTCCAATCTCCCAGTAACGTCCTTCTTCCTCCATCACGGCCATCAACAACAACAACAAGTGGCAGTGACGTTACCACGCCGCTTATACCAGGCTATGTACACTTTAAGGCCACATGAAGTGTCGAACGCCCGCTGGTAGGAGGTTATGGGACAGACCCAGGTGCCATGGGCTCACTGACTGAGAAGACTGGCTGATGCACCACCTGTGCCTCCTACTGTGCCAACTTGCTATACTTTAGCCAACCAGCACTCCGCTCGTTGTTGTGAGCATCGCTCCTCTGTCCTCCATTGTTATTGGAGGGTGTTGTATACTAACCCTTCTTCCATAATTGAGATTAATAATATTTGATGATTTTTATATATTATCTTTTTACTTGTTTTTTTTAATGAGTGAAACACACCAAGCGCAGCAAACTGCAAAACACCAGGTGTTGTTAAGTAATGAACCGGAGGAGGGTTAGGATGGCAGAATTTACAACGTTGCTTCAAGGGAAGATAAGGCCTGATGAACGGGCACATGTCACCCGTGCAGGCGGCAGAGACAGTGGGAGTGTCAGCCAGACATAGTTAAGGCAAAAGCCCAATCATCCTGCATGGTTTTAAAGTAACGTCAAAATTCGAAATTCAACAACAGAGTAGGCTAAATTATCGATCCTCGCGCTCGCTCAAATTGGAGACCAGGCTGCGAGCTACATCAATGAACCATTGCCCATTTGCTAATCCAATACTGAATGTTAATATTACTGAAGTCAAAACGAATTCTATGACCTCAGCACATGGGCAAATAATAGGGCAGTGTCGACTCAAAGGCAATGGAAGAAACAGAGGCGCCTTTGTCTAAATCACAACCACAGAAAGCCAGGAATCATCACTGATTGTGTGTTCAGGAATTCCGAGCTAGTTAGAACACGTGCACAGGGGGGGAGCTGATGTAAACAACCCTGCGCGTCTGGACGTGAGGGGGCCTTGGACCTGGAATCAAGAATAAACACTCCCAGAGCAGAAGGTGGACAGGGGGAGAGGTGATTTAAAAGAGGGTTGTATATCTCTCAAGGCACAAGACCCAGCTGAACAACACGGCTGCGGGGGTCACCAGAAGTTCGCATTCGCCTAGTTAAGACAAAAAGCTCAATTATTCTGTATTGCTATTAAAGTAACGTTAAAGTCGGAATTTAACAACAGAGTAGGCTAAAGTTATTGATATTCACACCCACTCCAATTAAACCAGGTCACAAGTTACGCCTACTGAACCATCACCATCATTAAGTCAATATGAAATGCTATTTCCATACTTCAATACTTTCTATACAACTCGACCCGAAGCATATGACAATCAGAACCTTCCTAAGTCAAAATTGAATCGCACCCAGACAGGAGCGAATAGTCGATATAAGGTTGACGAGGGAAGGAAATTAAGAGCACGGCGAACTGCAAACGTAAGCAAAAAGCCGGGAACAACACCAGCCCAGCAACAGCGAGTGGGGCTTCGACAGGCCATAAAGTAGAATAATAACTCCCGGGGTCAGGGGATACAAGAAGAAGCAGGCAGACAAAAACCAGAACTGACTCCAAGGTTCAACCGCCCTCACCTACTCAGGAGTGACGGAAATTAATGAGGCCTTGAATTAACGGCAGGCAACAACAACGGCGAGCAGAGATAGGGTGGGGCAAAGACTGCGGGCTATGGAATGCAACTTCGTGTCAGTAAAGCCCTGACAAACAAGTTAAGTTAAAGACATCACAATACATAATATCGCACATAACATCAATGTTAACGCTATTCACCGTAAACTATATTCCGCTTATATAACCATCCAGGCACCAAGGAATACGAATTCCTAGGATCAAGAAACTTACCCCTTAAACCTAAGATATCGGGAATAAATTAATAGTAATAAGTATATGCATGAAAGACAAAAGTAAAACTTATGGAAAAGCCAGGATAACGGGATGAATCACCACCAGGTCGAATATAAATACATAATAAAAAAAAAACGATGTTAAACCCAGGGTCGGAGAGAAAGGGAGATCCCGACCGTCTTTGTATCCCCGCAGCGCGGGATAGGAGTGTGTGTACGCTCGGGGAAACACCTACACGTGGGTCGGGAACCACGATGGGAAACGACAGATCTTAGGTTACATACAGAATCATAACTGTGAAATAGTAAGGGACAAATGTTAACTTAAAACTTTTAACCATTTCTTTGTGCGCCGGGTCGGAGAGAGTGTTGCCCCCCTCCAGGTTGTGCAACACGAACAAAGACGCCTATGAGACGATTTGTAACGTCTGTGTTTTGGGTTCATGAAGAAGGCCAGACAAGAGATAAATTGCACCCAGACAGAGAGACGACTTCGAGACAATTTGTAACATCTGGTTGTTTGCTCGTGGGTTTTATAGAGGGAGTTGACAACGGAATATACCGTCAGTGATGCACACAAGGACATACGGACACACACATGGACACACCTGCCTACGGACAGATCCTGACACAGCAAAAATCGGAAGCCCCGCCTTGTGGGCGGGATCCAGGGGGATTTTTCAGCATAAAGGAACGGATCCTGAACATTGGAAACCAGTGCGACGGGAGGGTCCACTCAGAAGCTCGACCGGGAGGGTCGACTCAGGAACGAGTGCGACCAGAGCGGGTCCACTCAGGAGTGCGACCAGAGAGTCGACTCAGGAGCGAGGGCGACCAGCGGGTCGACCCAGGAGCGAGCTCGACCGGGAGGGTCGACTCAGGAGCGAGCTGCGACCAGCGGGTCGGCTCGACTCATCTTCAGCTCGTCAATCTCTGCTGCCGCCGGAGATCTCCGCTGCCGCCGGTGGTGAGCGTCGCGACTTGGCGACGATCCAGCGCTGCACGCTACGAGCGAGTTGTGGGCGCCACCTACCGACCGGGTTCCGAACTGCGACAGCGTATCAACAGCCATCCGAGCAATTCACCACGGTGACAGGAGAGCGCCTGATACGTATGACGCGCACCGCCCCCTCACCACACGACCACCAGGCGTCTGTTTGACATAAAGAATCGACTCCGAACACTGACTATTCAAGACAACTCTTACCACTCAAACACACTCGAACCCATAAGTCATCCGTGGCTGGGAAGGCATCACAACGAGACCGAGTGGTGGCCTCCGTCGTATAAGAGTATTCTTAATTTTTATCTTTAATATTTAGTGGGCTGTACTCTTAATCGCATAAATTCCCAACAGATCCATCAATACGAACTGATTCTTGGCACCTCCTTCCGCCGAGCCACGCTCACGTGGGGAGTGGTGGCCACCGGATCCTTATCAGGTGATCTGGTCCCCAATTAGTAAACTTGGTATAAGATAACGATCTTCGGAAAAGGAGCACCGTCGCAGGCCCTTACTCCGAGCCGTTCTGCTGTCAGATAACCTGCCGATGTATCTGTTGAGATTGGTGCCTTTAAGAATAGTAACTGTTTTGATTGTGTTTTTTTTTTTATCGCCGTATAATCTTTCAAGTATCTTTCAGTCATAATCGCCGCACGTACTCGCATCCTCTACAGAATATTCAACTGTTCCGTGACCCAAGGTGTTAACAACGTGATAAGGGTTGCGTATGATCAATAAGGAGTGCGGTACTGCGTGAACAATATTGAGTATAATCATTTATTAACGTTAAGGTTTTCTTAGCATAGTATTTGCACGTTTTAACGACTCTCTCTCTCACTAACAACCATCGCGTTATGCGGGATCCATGTGCAGTTGTCGAAGTGAAATCCGACAATCGTTGATGATACTGTATTGATGCCGTATTGACGTTCCGGGATTGAGAGTTCGCATACTATATCATAGTTAAGGTTGAATTAGTAATAAATTGATCAATACAGAAGTGGTTGTGTGATTCTTTCCTGAAATCTATGCATAAGATCTGCTTCTGCGTTGAGATTTGAACTTGGTGACCTTAATAAACACACTAATACATACTCAGTAAATGTTAAAGCGATAACGGGGTGAACCGGGGTCTGGTTATCATAACGACTTGCGTTATCATAATTACACCCACTCGCATAATTAATACGATTACCTCTCGAATTGGCATAATTAAAATGTGCGTAATTACATAAATTAACATATTTCCGGATAATTACATATTTGGCCAAATTTCATTTAATTATTATTATTTCCACTGAATATTCATAACCCACATATACAACATAATAATTTCACCCACGCACGCATACAACATAACAAATTTTCATACCCAACATATACAACATAATGGGGGCTCGTCTTCCGGGATCTCTCGCAGACAGTTTATGCATGAATTCAGGAACGAATCACTGATGTGTTAATCAAAGTGTTGTGAACTAACGTTGCCTTGTGATTGTAAACGGGGGTATACAAACAAAACGCGCTCTGAAGGGAAATACCAGAGTAGCAGAGTATAACAAAGACAGCTGGGCTGAGATTATTTGCTCGAGTTGAACTGACGCATCCTGTGATACAATTGTTTATATGTGCTCTGAAGGGGAATTCTAGAGTAACTCACGACGCACATGAGATGTTAGAATTAAGATACACTCTTAAGTCTATTAACCACACTACATAATAGAGAGGGCACAGGATCCACAACATTCTGAGTTTGACACACCAACGCATAACACTGATACAGAGTGGACCTCTGAGGAGGAGATGGAATCTATGGAAAAACAATATCGGGAATTTGTATTAAAACGTACTGGACGGACTGCTAGCCAGCAGACGGAGCAGAGAGATATATGGGAGGGGAGCCATACAGAAGATGTTAAGGCCCATAGAAGGAAACTACTTAAGGATGTGATGAAATGTGGCAAAGCCAAACGTGACGTAAAAATTGCAGAAATAGCGAGGGTAGACTCGTATCTCCTCGCACAGACAGA